TTCTAGGGCTTCCCTGAGTGTGGGGCTTTTATCCAACAGTTCGAAAAGTTCAACATATGTTCTGTCCCAGAATTCTTCAGTCCCCCTTAAATTCCCTTCCTTCGTACATCCTCTTCTTACCGTGAGGATGTATGTTCTGTCTTGAGAGTCCTCTCATGTGAGGAGTCGAGTGCGCTCAACCTTGCGAGTCGTCAGTGTTCACGTGGAGCATCTGGAAAGAGAGGGTGGTGCTATCTGAAGGGCCCTGGACGAAGCACTGGGTCACGGTCACCATGCCAACCCACCGGGAGTAGAGCACGCATGCTTTGCTGCTTTGTCCTTTGTATGCTCGCTGCGCTATAGATGGGTTCTGAGGGGCAAGCCAGCCCTACGGGAAAGACGAGTACCGGACGTCTATAAATAAGTACCGGTGGGGACCTTCCATTAGCTGTGACCGTCGTCATGTCTGCGACGTTAAATAATTCCTGAGGACTTCGGGGGGCGTCCATAAAAATGCCTCCTGATGAGCCAATCGGCCGATGTAAGGGTCGCTGCACGCGAGGATAAATCTTGTCCAGGGTTGGCCAGCTCAGCAGGACTTGGGGTACAGGGGTGGGCCGTGTGCACACCTTTAGACACGCACACTTTTCCGGATTGCTCTGGGACGTTGATGACAAGAGACATTCAGGAAGAACTGAGGGAGGCGTAGATTCCAGGAGATAAGTTTGGGAAAGATTCCACTCTGCAAACAGTCAATCAAATGATTCTGTTTTTATTTTGATTAGTTAAATGTACATCCATTAACATCTGACAGACATCATAGTTAGAACTGTTTTTTGTTCATTGTGCTTTCTGTTTGCGAATTAGTCAAAGTCAAGATAGTTTCGTTTGTAGGAATCTAAACTTACTTGTTGGACCCAAATGTGTAGTCTTTGACATAGCCGCCGATTATTTATTTTAAATCGGTTTGTACATCATGCTGCGGTAGGCATCGAGAGTGTCCTAGTGCAGACAGTGTACAATGTTGTAGCCTATGAGTGACAGGGAGGTCCCACAACCGGACGATAGGATCTTGCGATCGATAAGACGCCTGATAGCCCATTTGGCATTAGGATCAGAGGGTGACAGATACATGTTCCACCAGCAGAGAGAGAGGCAGCAGCAGCAGCGAAGGGCTAGGGCTGCAGAGGCAAGCAGGGCATTCGTGAGCGAGGTCGCTACAACAGCCATGGCAACTGCTGCGCTGCAGAGCTCTCAGGCTAGTAGTTCAGGGACTGTAAGGTCAACGGTCGCACAGACCATGAGTCAGCCCACTGGCATAATGGCAAGCCAACCAATAGTGTTGACCCCCGAGGAGGTCGCCATACAGCAAGCAGATATTCACTAGGCAACACTACAACATGAGCTAGGAGAGATCAAGGCAGAGAAAGAGAAAATGATTAGAAGAAGTGTCAGGATGCAGCGGAGACAAGCGAACATTAGCGAGTTAGAGGAGATGGATCTGACGCACGTGGATAATGATGTGAGGACCCTACGGACCGTCCTGCTAGATGTAGTAGAAATGCAGAACATCCAGCAGAGTCTTTCCTTATTGGTCGGGCGGGCGCAGGCAGGTCCATCGCTGTCCGGGCCAGGTGCCTGGCCCGTTGTACTGGTAACTGGAGTCTCCCCATATGTCTCTCCAGTATCGGTCCAAGCCGTTTCCCTGAGTATGCCTTTGATAGGTGGGTTCTCAGCAGGTCCTAGTGTCCAGGTTCCTGTACAGTCAGTGTATTCCCAACCTCCGTTGCAGGTTGCCGTAACCGGGAAGCCTGCACAGCCGCAGGGTACACAGCCCCAGTCTAGTGCAGCAACCTGGTCCCCAAGGTCCACAGCCTGGAGTGGGACAGGTACCGGAACAAAGTCAGTGGGTTCCAAAGACGGCCATCGCCTCCCCCAAACCCTTTACAGGGGACAAAAGGGGCGAAGACCTCGACACATGGTTGAGGTCAGTGTCAGTCTATGTCAAATGTAAATTGACATTGCTGCACGAGGAAGTGTTTGTGGCTGCCTCCTATTTAGAGGGGAGTGTAGCAAGATGGTGGAGTGGTTTAGTGCAGCTACAGGGATACGGTCATGACTTCCGCGCTTGGGCAGTTAACTAGAAATTGGAAGACTTCCTTAAGCTGGTGGAAGATAGGTGGCATGATTCTCAGGAGGCTCAAAAGGTCACTGACGCGATCCTGACTTTGAACAACATGCAGTTCAAGTCAGTAAGGGAAGCCACAGACGCAGTAGAGCGTCTGATCGGTGTTCTTGGAGTACGCTACGACCCCCAGGTCTTACTCACCTCATACCTGAGATGTTTTCCTTTGCCTTTCAGGAATCAGTTGGCAGGTGAGGCCAACATCAATATGCACAACTTTCCCTCGTTCAGCAAGCAGGCCCTAGACCTAGTGGCAAAGATAAGGCATGGACATACACCCACGACGGACGGTAGGAAAAAGGCACTGCCTCCCAACTGGAAGGCGAAAGGACGCATAATGTTCGTCGACAACGATGGTTCTACCATCGAGTTAGAAGACGACTTCCAGGCGGGAGTGGGTTCAGAGGCGGGCAGCGTAGAAGTTTCAGGGGGTGGAATAGTCGCTGCCTCTGTCTAGAATGTAAGGCGACCGGTAAACGCCTTGGAGGTTCCCAGCCTAGGAGTCAAGTCGACCCTAACGCTCCTCCATAGGAGAAAGCGGGTCTCACAGAGGATGTGTGGAGAGACCAGTATACCAGGCAGGCTTGTATTCGTTGTGGTCAATATGGCCACAACCAATTCAAGTGCCGCAACAAGAAGGTGACCAAGAAGAGCCCACCTATGATGGGACAGGTGTTGGGATCCTCCACTCTCATAGGTAGCAATGTGGCTAGCAGTTCTGGCACTGCTCCGGGAAACACATCAGGTCAGTAGGAATAGTAGTTGTTCCTGCTAGGGTCGAGGTGGTGGACACACCCTCACCATCTCGAGAGATGGCCCAAGCTACTGACTCTCGGGCCATCGTCGTCCCGCAAACACATTCGGACCTAGCGACCCTCTATTCGTTGAATGTGTTTGAATCCTTAGAGGAGTTAGAGGAGGAGTGGCCTAGATCGGACCCGCTAGCTTCTTGGACGGTCATGGCCAAAGCCCCAAAGGGTGAGTTGTTCGTCGGCGAGGTAGTCATCGGCGGTCGTAAGGTCGGGGCCTATTATGACACTTGCTCGACGCAGAACTTCATTAGTCGCGCGTGCATTGAGAGGCTGCGCTTATAGGGGCAAGTGCAACGCTTGAGTCGACCTATTGAGTCGACCTGTGCCAACAAACAGCGCATGGTAGTCAACGACTACCTCAAAGACATTGAGTGTCTTTTCCCGTACGCGGGAGGGGAACTGAGACATTGAGTCTCGTTCCTAGTCAGCGATGATCTCCCTATGGACATCTTGTAAGGTATGTTCTACCTCTCGGTTGCACAGCCCCAGTTTGATTGGGACCGAAAATAGTCAAACATATGCCCCAGTTTGACTGGAACCGAAAAATATTCAAACATATGTTGCCCAACGGGGGAACTGCCAGATTGCTTAAATATAAAGTTAGTAGTCTGATCGAGTCCTACGGGTGCATGTGTGCGACTGCGTTTTATAATTATTATAAGCAAAATCCGAGGAGGGTATGTACCTAGTTTACGTCTCTGCAGAGGGTGAGCCGATGAAAACGCCTCGAGAGATAGAGGGAGTGGTCGCTAGGTACCTTGATCTATTCGAAGAGCCAAAAGGGGTTGTTGAGAGGGAGGTCGTCCACGCGATAGAGATTATCCCAAGGTCTAGCATTCCGAAGGGTAGGATCTATCGGCCCGGGATATCTCGAGGTGAGCTCGATAAGTTCCGTCGGCAACTCAAGGATCTCATAGAGAAGGGTTGGATCCGGCCTAGTGTTTCCCCTTACGGATCTCCTGTTCTATTTGTACAAAAGAAGAGAGGAACCTTGAGGATGTGCATTGACTATAGGGGCCTCAATGCCATCACAGTGAAGAACGTCGAGCCCCTATCGCGCATCGATGACTTGCTGGACCGAGTGCAAGGGTGTCGGTACTTCAGTAAGATAGATATGAAGTCCAGGTACCATCAGATTGCCATCCGGCCCGAGGATCAACACAAAACCGCATTTCAGACCAAGTACGGTCTGTACGAGTTTGTGGTGATGCCTTTCGGCCTTTGCAATGCTCCTGGCACCTTTCAGCATGCGATGAACCGGATATTCCATGACTACTTGGACAAGTTTGTCATCGTGTACCTAGATGACATACTTATCTTTAGTAGGACTGTCAAGGAGCATGTAACACACTTAGATAAAGTCCTTAGTCTCCTCAGACAGCACCAGTTCAAGATCAACTGGGAGAAGTGTGAGTTTGGCCGCACCCGGATCTTGTACCTGGGTCATGAGATTTCCGCGGAGGGTTTGAAGCCCGATGACGCGACGGTGGCCAGCATTCGTGACAGGCCGCGTCCTCAGTCTGTGACTGAGATGAGGTCCTTCTTAGGGATGACAGGCTACTACCGCAACTTTATTAAGAATTATAGTATAGCGGTCGCCCCTTTGACGGATCTAACATGCCTTGACACCCCATGGGAGTGGACAGACAGGTGTGAGGTTGCTTTCATTCATCTGAAGCATGCGTTGACACACCATGAGGTCTTGAAACGTCCTAATCCAGACAAACCTTTCGTTGTGACTACGGATGTCAGCCAATATGGCATTGGTGTCGTACTTGCGCAGCAGAACGAGAAGAAGTTGAGGCCAGTAGAGTACATGTCTAAAAAGATGCCCTCTCAAAAGTTGGTCAAGTTCACCTATGAGAAGGAGCTATATGCGATTTAGAAAGCGCTAACCCATTTGAGGGACTACCTCCTAGGTCGCTTCTTCTACGTCAGGACTGATCATCGGACCTTGAGATGGATGAAAACTCAACTGGTACTCTCTTACGTTCTGAAGCGTTGGATCGAAGTCATTGAGCAGTATGACTTCGAACCCCAGTACATCAAGGGGGAGTATAACTAGGTTGTTGATGCGCTGTCACGTAGACCAAATTTTCTCGGTGCGCTGGTCACTGAATTTGGGTTTGCGGACGATGTTACTCAGTCTTTGGTGGAAGCCTATCGCGAGGACCTATTCATGTCAAAGATCATACACAGACTCGAGGCGAAGGATAAAGCTACGTCTGAAGAGTTTGAGTTGATCAATCATCTGTTGTTCCTTGAGAAGGTCGGGAATAAATGTCTTTGTGTGCCCAATCGGGAGTCTTTGCATAGTTTATTTTTAGGCAAGTGTCATGATGCCACCAAACATTTTGGGTATAGAAAGACTGCAACAAATCTGTTGCAGCAGTTCTGGTGGCCCACAATGATGAGAGATGCAAAGTTGTACGTGGAGACTTGTCAGGTGTGTAATAGAGACAAGCCACGTACACAGGCCCCTCTTGGACTTCTCAAGCCCCTTCAAATTCCGGAAAGGCCCGGTGAGAGCCTCTGTCTATGGATTTCATGGACACACTGGTCACCAGCAAGAGTGGAATGAGCTATATCTATCTCATTGTGAATAGGTTTAGTAAGTATGCTAGATTAGTTGCAATGTCTGCTACAGCTAGAACCGAGAATGTGATCAAACTGTTCAAAGAGAACTGGGTTAGAGACTTTGGACTTCCAAAGTCTATTGTGAGTGACAGGGATGTCAGATTCACCATTGATTTGTGGAAGGCTGCAGCTGCAGAACAGGGAAAACAATTGCAGATGACTTATGGGAACCACCCAGAGGCAAATGGCCAAGCAGAGCAGCTGAACCATGTTGTACAACACCTGTTGCGGCACTACATTAAGCCCAATCAGGCGGACTGGAATGAGAAACTTGCTCTTATCGCCAGCCTGTACAACAATGCTGTGCACAACGCCACTAGGGTAAGTCCTAACAGTCTGCTACTGACTTTCAAGCCTAGAGTGCCCCTAGACTTTCTACTACCTGACAACCAGCCAACTGTTGCACCGGGCACACTTGAATTTGCCTATCGCTATGAACCATTGATGCAGCAGGCAGTAGAACAGATGCATAAGGCACAGGCGGCAATGATAGAGTCTGAGAACAAACAACGTCGCCCTTCTATATTTCAAGTAGGGGACATAGTCCGGGTAAAGTCCTCAGAACTGAAACAGGAGCGGGGGATCTCCCGCAAGCTCATGCCATAGTACTTTGGACCATGGGAGGTTCCGAATGTATTGGGGAAGGTTCGAATGGGCCATCCTATGTAATCCAGATCTTTGGTCATCTTCGCACTTACCTTGTCTTTGACGCCTCCAACTTGCACCTTCCAAGGAAACTGATCAGTTTCTCACACGTCGCTCAATGCTGCCCCCAACCATGGACGGAGAAGTCGACATCGACGACATCGTGGACCACAGGGAAATGTCGGTTCCAAGACCGACAGGCAGGGGACGTCCTGCGAAGCCGAAGCTGCAGTACCGAGTTTGGTTCAAACATCACACTGATCCAAAGGAGGATAGTTGGTTCACACGGGAGAAACTGATACGGACCGCACCGCAGGTTGTCGCCCACTATGAGAAGTTGCTGCAGAAAGGAAAGCGCCAGATTGAATGAACTTCTCAGAGGACTAGCGGAGTATGGAGGAGGGAATGCGAGGCTCAAGGCCTCGATCTACCCTACTAGGCCCTATTTTTTGTACATTCAGCCGCCCTAAGTGAAGGCAGGCTCGACCCAAGGCCTACAGGCCTATTTTTGGGGTCATCACGCAACTAGGTAAATTTAGGCAGTTGCGCAGCGCCAGTTGGTTGACAGCGCCCAGGCCCAGACTGACACTTTCGAATGTAACTAAAGGCAGGCCCTGGGCCAGAGTCGCAATATGGACCGAACACAGGCCGCGGGCAGTTGGATACGGGCAACCACCACAGGCCCAGGGCCTGTTTCGTTTGGACTGGGGCTCAACCTCTCTGGGCCTAACGGAAGCTCTTGGGAAGGGGCCCAGCACAACCAGGATGCAAGCAAGCAGGCAGGCTACTTCCATTTAGGAAAGTGTATGCCCATGCATTCGGCATTCGGGCACTGGCTGTATGTTGTGCAAGCGTTGTTGCGCTAACGCTGGCCAGCGCTCACGCGCTCATGGGCGAGCTGGAAGGAGCAGGCAACCATAGCCGAGCGGCGCTGGTGTATGCTGGATGGAGCACATGGTGGTCCTTGGGTGTACATGGCATCTGTGAATGGGGGATCGAGGTTGTGAGTGATACGAAAGACATACCTGGTGCTTAAGGCGAACGGCATTGGCCGAGATCTGCTCGTACTTCGGGAAGTTGTTGACGTCACCAGCGGCATTGTAGATAGGCTAGATAGGATCTGCCATTTGTAGTCTGGGCGCAGAGGGTCAGATAGGATGTCGACATTGGTTCTTTGTTGATGATGATGAGACTATTCGAACATTGTCACTTATGAGCTTTTGTTGTACTCTTATCATCTTATGTGGTGGGACTCGTGATGCAATTTTGCTTTTGGTTTGAGGTCACGATTATATGGTCTCATGTGTATAATGTTGCTTGGTTTCTGAAGTTCGCTATCCCTCATTTTCCTTGCACCTAGGTTTTTTTTTTTTTTGTCTTTGGTTTTTAACTCGAGTGTGGTACAGAGTTTTGAGATGAGGCTCAGGCAAAAGTTGTTTGAAGTATCACTATGCATAACATAATTTTTTTTCAGATTTTTTCGATGATACGTGTCGCGTACAAGAATATGTGTATGTGTGTACGTGCAACCCTCGTACACGTACGTTGTGCTACCCAGCAAACGGTAATAAAGAATAGCTTAAAACCGACTCTGAAGTCTGAGCTTAATTGACGAATTAAGAAAATGGCAGATTGAAAATTCAAAAAAAAAAAAAAAAGGAGCAAAGAAATAAGAAAAAGCAACACTAGCATACAAAGAAAAAAAGTCTAGTATGAAGATTTTTCATTTCATCAAAGTCAGCAAGTGGGTGCAGTATGATGAAGGCACAATGAAGGCGCCAACATTCCGCATGGAAATGGTGTGGGTCGATCGGGCATACGGTGGTGCAGCGCAACCGGGTGCGTTGTGTTGCCCTTACCAGAATTTGGTCTGTGGGAGTGGCTGGAAAGTAGCAAGCCCACCCTGGCTTCAGGACGCGACAGGGCTTGCATAAGGAGGGTTCAACATCGCTCGTGTGAGGTGCAACGGCGCGGCAGTGTTAGTACAAGGAAGATCCATAACGATTGACGAGAGAGCAGTAAGAAGGGGCTATGGTGGGGGGCTGGTACGATGGGTATGGGGACGATGAGGAGGGTTCAACATAGCGTGTGAGGTGCAGTGGCGCGACAGGGTTAGTACAAGGAAGAGCGGCAATGATTATCGAGGGAGCAGCAAGAAGGGGCTATGGTGGGGGGCTGGTATGATGGGTATGGGGACGAAGAGGGGTGGTCGTGGACAGGAGAGTGATGCAGCATGAGAAGGCAATTTCTATCGTCGGACGAGTAGGAGGCGGAGGCGAAGTGTGAGGGTGGGGGAGGGGCAGTTGACAAAAGGGACTGGCAGAGGGAGGGAGTCGCGTGCTGTATGGAGGAAGGAGAAGGAGTGACCAATGTAGAAACATCTTGAGTATAGGAAGAGCATCTGAAAGGTTTGGGGTTAGGTCTGTTATCGAGGGGTGGATAACAACGGAAACGATTTTACCCCTTCACTTCTTCGAACTACCTGCGAGGGGCGGCTGGCAGGCTCAACTCTTGTGCTCGTGACGTGGCACGGACTGCTGCGATGGTGATCCTGGCTACGGTCCGATTATCTTCATGGCCCGACCTTTCGGCGGTGTAGCCGACTAATGGGCGGCCGGGTGTTTAACGGCCGATGAAGGCGAGGAGGTGAGGTTTAGAGGGGGGAGGGGTGTGTCGATGGTTGGAAGGTGTTTTTCCTCTTACCTGTCCTGAAGTCTCGATTGTATGTTGGGCTATACTCAATTTTATGATGAATCTTATTATATCCAGGGATGAAAGTTTCTGATTTGGATTCCTTTCAAGTTCGTAATGATCAAAGTAGTTTTGTTCCATCTACCACAAATTGTTCACTTCTGATTGTTCTCTCGTAAGTTTCTAGATTCCTTCTTCATCATCATAATTGCCTTGCAATAATCTTGATTTGGTTTCAAAATTCGGATGAACTGAGAGTGTTGATTTCTTAGCATACTTCTTAAACCATGATCACGTACGTTTTTTAGATTACTTCTTAGCACTTTTCTTCCGTTATGCGCTACACGGTTTTGCTAAACGACTCTCCAACGGTGGTTTAAGGATCTGTTTCAAAAATCCTTTTGGGATATCTAAACCTAAAATACGCATGTGTTTTTCCCTTGATTCCACATGACTAGTTTGTAGTTTCGTAATTGATTTTCCTATTTTGAAACTGCAGCATTATATTCTGAATTTTTGATTTATTTGTCGATTGGATAATTCTTTCTACCTTTTTTTTTTTTTTTTTTTTTTTTTTCGAACAAATGCTCCAGCCTATTCGTGGGGAGAAACACGTGCTGGGAACCGGGCTCAGCGTCCCATAACAAATTGTACAGATCATTGAGAACATTTGAGGTTTTCTTAGGTCTTTTGAGGTCATTTGAGATACCGGGGCTATTACCCGGCTTCAGCTGAGAACAAACTGTGAAACAGAGGTCCTACGAATGCTCACTACTCTCAGGTTCCCTGACAAACCCTTCTAAGACTTCCGAACATCGTCTTACTCCCTGCTGAGTTCTTCCAAGCCTCACGCCCCCACCCTGCTGGGTTACAGAGCAACACAACTCGGCCCAGCTCCGACCAGCGTCATCCCAGCAGCAACCCTTGGTCGTCCCTTGGGATGCCCACCCCAAAGCATCCCCAGATCTCTCTACCAGGCCTCACACTCCTGCATCAGCAGGTTACAGGGCAACACCCCAGCACCGGCCAGTGTCGTTCTGGCATCGAACGGCCACAGATCACTTTTTTTCCATTCAGACTCTGCCAAGTCAAAAGAATATGTGTGTCAATAAGCCTCCCCATCACGAATCCGATAGGTTCGATCCCCCTACGACCACCACCAGCATGGTTAATTTTAGCACGAACCGAAGCTCTTCCAAGCCTCATGCTCCCATCAGGTTAGGTTACATAGTTGCACCACCTTGCTTCAGCATCGGGCAGCGTTGCTCCAGTTACGACCCCCGATGACCACTGGGACTGCCCCCGCAAACAGCCCCCAAGAGCTCTTTACCAGGCCTCACACCCCGACTAAGCTAGGTCACAGAGTTGCGCCACCTGGCTCCAGCTCCGACCAGCGTTGCTCCAGCATCGGTCTTCGAGGGCCACCGACTTCGAGAGAGATCGCCCCTCCCTCCCCCTACCCCTTCCCCCTCCGAGTCAGCCCTATACTGCCTCCCCCGAGGAGAGTCGTTGAGTCACTCACTCTCCCTCGGCCCCAATATAGGACCAATCCTCTCCCCCCCTTTCCCCAGGAGCACGCAGTTCCCACCTAAAGCATGCCCCCCCGCCTCTGCCCATTTCCGCCTCCGCAGGGACTGATGGACCCACCCATAGTCCCTGCCTCAGAATAAGGCAACCCCCTACTCCGCCCGTACCCTCTTTGAGACATTCACCCCCCACCTTGCGATGCCCCTGCAGGATAGAGCTCCCCCCACCCCCTTCCCACCGTTCAGCCCTCCGAGAACAATCCAATCCAGCCGTCTACAGTTATTGATGACACACTTACCAAAACATCATTCGCTTGGATTTTGTTGGATTTTGTTGGTGACAATGGACAGCACCCTGAAGACGATAATAATGAGAATGATGGTGACAACCAACTCACCTGCTGATGCAGAGCAACATCTAATTGAAAATAAGTTGATGATGATGATGATGATGATGAGGATGAGGATGATGATGAAGATGAGGATGAAAACGGAAAGATGATGCTGATCATACCAAAGAGCAGCACCAACAGCCTGTATGATTACAGACTGATGATGATGATAGTAATGATGATAGCGATGATGGTGATGATGTTGATAATGATGATGATGATGATGATGAAGATAACGATGGTGATGTCAGTAATGATGATGATGATGATGATGATGATGATGATGATGATGATGATGATGATGATGATGATGATGATGATGATGATGATGATGATGATGATGATGATNTGATGATGATGATGATGATGATGATGATGATGATGATGATGATGATGATGATGATGATGATGATGATGATGATGATGATGATGATGATGATGATGGTAAGGATGGTGACGCATAGCACCCTATGATGACTACAAGATGATGATGGTGTGATGACGAGCTCCTTGGATAATAACCTAAAGATGATGATGATGATGATGATGATGATGATGATGATGATGATGATGCGCAAAGCCCTATGATGACGTCAAGTTTTGTCACCTGTGCCGTATGATGGAGAGAAATTTGACAATGGTGATACAACGGTGAGTGACGAGCAGCTCCCCTGATGCACGACTCCTTGATAGTAGTAATGATATTAGCGCCGAACAGGAGTAAAGACATACTCCTTAATGATGATGACGAGCAGTATTTTGATTCTGATGATGGTGATGAAGAGCAGCGACCTGATGATGATGACAAACCATTACCGTGATGATGATGTCAAATCACGCCCTGTTGCTGGTGATGGTGACGAGCAGCACCCTAAAACAGTCATTTCGTCAAAACGGACATATTATATTTTTTGAACGAAATCAAAACTGACTTTTTTTGCCAAAATCCGGTCGGAATTTTTTGCTCCTGGGGGTC